GTCTCAGCTGTCCTGGTGTCCTGGTGAAAGATCTGGGTCTCAGCTGTCCTGGTGTCCTGGTGAAAGATCTGGGTCTCAGCTGTCCTGGTGTCCTGGTGAAAGATCTGGGTCTCAGCTGTCCTGGTGTCCTGGTGAAAGATCTGGGTCTCAGCTGTCCTGGTGTCCTGGTGAAAGATCTGGGTCTCAGCTGTCCTGGTGTCCTGGTGAAAGATCTGGGTCTCAGCTGTTCTGGTGAAAGATCTGGGATAGCCATTGAGTAAAAAATCAATTTAAAAAAATGGAGGAAGCATTGGAGTTATGAAATCTTTTGAAAGGGGATTGATAAGCCGACTTTTTGGATGTAAACAGAACGGGGAAGTCGAACGCATAAGAACCAAATGCTTTGAAAGAATAAAGTGTTGCCAAGAATTTTGAGTCAATCTAATAATATAGATTGATCAAGGTTAAATGCTAATTTTCTTAGGATCGACTCTATTTCGTGATGGAATTCGTGAACGGCGGTGACTTGATGTACCAAATTCAGCAAGCTGGCAAATTCAAGGAGCCAGTTGCATGGTAGATTTTTACATTTTTACTAAAAATCCCTTTTTGCCATCAATTTTTCAATGACATCAAATTTTTCAGCTTTTATGCGGCCGAAATCGCGGTTGGGTTGTTCTTTTTGCATTCAAAGGGGATCATTTATCGAGATCTGAAGCTCGACAACGTCATGTTGGAAAGAGATGGGCATATAAAGGTTAGCAAAATTTAAACAATATAGCAGAAAATTAGCAGAAAAACGATAGCTTATTCAATCGGAATTGCTTGAAATCTTTTTTCAGTACCTAAAGCGTTTCATGCACTTTAACACCTTCACTACAAGGTTTTTTGATTTTTTGCGTAGTTCTTTCCCTTCTAGCTTCGTCTAAAAACGTTCACAGCAACCGATCTATTTAAGCTGAAGGTCAAAATGAAAAGAAATGTTTGAGGATGATTTAACTGAAAACAGATTAAAGAAATATTGAATTTAAGGAGATTTATGAACCTTTGAATGGAAAATACCGGGAAAATATCGGTGACCCGGGAAAATATCGGTGACCCGGGAAACTACCGATGACCCGGGAAACTACCGATGACCCGGGAAACTACCGATGACCCGGGAAACTACCGATGACCCGGGAAACTACCGGTGACCCGGGAAACTACCGGTGACCCGGGAAACTACCGATGACCCGGGAAACTACCGGTGACCCGGGAAACTACCGGTGACCCGGGAAACTACCGGTGACCCGGGAAACTACCGATGGCCCGAGGAATTACCGATGGCCCGAGGAATTACCGATGGCCCGAGGAATTACCGGTGACCCGGGAAACTACCGGTGACCCGGGAAACTACCGTTGACCCGGGAAACTACCGTTGACCCGGGAAACTACCGTTGACCCGAAAACCGGTGGCCGAAACTACCGTTGACCCGGGGAACTACCGTTGACCCGGGAAACTACCGTTGACCCGGGAAACTACCGTTGACCCGGAAACTACCGTTGACCCGGGAAACTACCGTTGACCCGGGAAACTACCGTTGACCCGGGAAACTACCGTTGACCCGGGAAACTACCGTTGACCCGGGAAACTACCGTTGACCCGGGAAACTACCGTTGACCCGGGAAACTACCGTTGACCCGGGAAACTACCGTTGACCCGGGAAACTACCGTTGACCCGAGGAATTACCGATGACCCAGGAAACTACCGATGGCCCGAGAAATTACCGATGGCCCGAGAAATTACCGGTGACCTGAGAAATTACCGATGACCCGGGAAATCTCTCATGCTAAAACACTTTGAACTTTCTCGGGCCATCGGTAGTTTCCCGGGTCATCGGTAATTCCTCGGGTCAACGGTAGTTTCCCGGGCCATCGGTAGTTTCCCGGGTCACCGATATTTTCCCGGTAATTTCCATTCAAAGGTTCATAACTCTCCTTAAATTCAATATTTCTTGAATCTGTTTTCAGTTAAATCATCCTCAAACATTTCTTTTCATTTTGACCTTCAGCTTAAATAGATCGGTTGCCTGTGAACGTTTTTAGACGAGCTAGAAGGGAAAGAACTTGCGTAAAAATCAAAAGGCCTCTTTGTGAATGTGAAAGTGAACAATCAATCTGCTGATTATCGATAAACCTGGTAATTACGCTATTTTGTAGATAATCTAAACTCAAATCATTTTTACGATTATTTTTTAGATCACTGACTTCGGAATGTGCAAAGAGGGAATCGTCGGCGATGCGACAACGAAAACGTTTTGTGGAACGCCCGATTACATTGCTCCTGAGGTTTTTATTATATTCTAAACTAATGTTATATTCCTAAACTAATAAAAAGCTTTAAATCCTTTAAAAACTATGACTTCTAGATTATTCTCTATCAACCATACGGCAAATCGGTCGATTGGTGGGCGTATGGAGTGTTGTTATTCGAGATGTTAGCCGGCCAGCCGCCATTTGATGGAGAGGATGAGGATGAGCTTTTCACAGGTAGCTTTTGCTAGTTTGCTAGTTGCTAGTTAAATAAAATCTCAAGGTTTATGTTTTTGAGTCGATTTAAATCATGTTTTAGCTATCACTGAGCACAACGTCTCTTACCCGAAAGCACTTTCGAAAGAATCGGTCTCACTATGCAAGGGATTCCTTCAAAAGAATCCAACGAAACGGCTAGGTTGTGGAGGTGCCGGGAATCGGGATATTCAGGTGAGCATTGGAACTGGAGATAAATATTAGGTGTGTGAAAAAGTAATCCACGTTTTTAACGTTCAAATATAAAAGATCATAAGTTTCGTTAAAATAATTTTTATTCAACGAAGTAATCACCATTCGAAAGAACAACCTTTTGCCAACGTTCTACAAGTAAAGACATTCCACGATAATAAAAATCTTGGTCCCCTAGAGGCGAAGAAAAGAGCAGCCTCAGTTTTGACATCTTCTTGGAATTGAACTTCTTGGAATTGAACCGTTTATTGGCCCAAAAAGTTAGACAGAGACAAAAATAAATAATAATCAGATGGAGAAAGGTCTGAACTATAAGGTGGATGTGGTAAAACCTCCCATCCAACACTCTGGATTTTTTGTCGAGTCTGTAAAGAGACATGTGGTTGCGCGCTATCGTTCATGCGGTATCCATTTGTCCAACTTTTTGATAAAATTCATGGCATTCAAGCGTTTCCTTACGGTTGACCCATCACAATTTAATGTAAGGCCTATTTCTGAAGAGGTTGAATGAGAGTTTTCGAGAAGACAGCGTCTTATTTGGTCATCAGATAAAAATAAAAAACGTGGATTACTTTTTCACACACCTAATATAATAAAAAGAGCTAAAGATCGATCTGATCGACTATTAAGTACTTGCAAAAGAAACTGCGAATCATAAAAACCATCATAAAAATCGACTGTAAGTAAAGATGAAAAAGTAAAATTATCCATATTATCGAAACAAATGGTAAGCTCATGTTCGACCGTTCAAATCTCGGTTCCTAGAACAGCTATCAGTCTCTGTTTCTGACGACTTCCATGTGTACCTTTGGTCTAATCCTGAAGTAGAATTCGACCAAAGCTATTAGGTTGAGTACTAAGTCTTGCACTAAGACTTCCTAGTCAATATTATCGATACAAGCGGCAAGCTGATGTTCGACCGTTCAAATCTCGGTTTCTAGAACAGCTATCAGGCTGCAAATTGTTTCATTGGAAAGCCAAGAATGTCAGCTTTTGATTGCTAGTTTATACATAGCACATTCTCATAGCTAAGTGTCTTAAAAAGCTTAGCCATGCTGATTGATAAGCTTTTCGACAAGCTCGATAATCGATACGTTCGATATCAATCAGTAAGGTGATAGCTGTTCTAACGGCTGTTTATACATAGCACATTCTCATAGCTGAGTGTCTTAAAAAAGCTAATCAATGCTGATTGATAAGGTTTATGAGGGTACTCTCATGAAAAATCGTTATGCAAATCCGATGGTCCGATTAATCTGATGGATTTCAGTGTTTGGAATGTTCTTGAAGCAAAAAACGTGCTTAAAACCGCATTCCAGTATCTATTCGCTTAAGAAATATCTTCAAAAAGCACGATAAACTCGATCACGCTTACTAGACTTGCTTATCGATATTATCGATACGAACGACAAGCTCATGTTTGACCTTTTAGATCTCGGTTTTTAGAACAGCTATCAATCTGAAAATTGTTTCATTGAAAAGCCAAGAATGTCATCTTTTGATTGCTAGTTTATACATAGCAAATTCTCATAGGTCAGTGCCTTAAAAAGCTTCTCAATACTCATCGATACTCAAATATCGATAGCGATTTTTAATGACCAAGCACCTCATTAACCTTATCGATACTTATCGATAAGCTTATCGATATTTGAGTATCGATGAGTCATGAGAAGCTTTTTAAGGCATTCACCTATGAGAATGTGCTATGTATAAACTAGCAATCAAAAGCAATCATTCTTGACTTTCCAATGAAACAATTTTCAGATTGATAGCTGTTCTAGAAACCGATGTTTGAACGGTCAAACATAAGCTTGTCGTTTGTATCGATAAGCAATACACAATTAAGAAACAATCACAATCAACAATCAAGAAACACCAGCTCAGTCTTTCCCTGTTGTCTTGCATAGTTTAAACTGGTTAAGCTCGAACTTCTGAAGTACTTGCCTCTAAACAAAGTCCAGAAACCCACAAAGAGCTCATTTGCTTTAAAGTGATGTTCTAAAATGATCTGTTCTAAAATGGAATAAAAAGAATGGAGATTTGTACCAAAATCAGATCTCCATTCTGGAAAACTTCTTTTCTTACAGCTTTTCTTACAGCTTTTCATACAAAAATTACAGGAACACACCTTCTTTCGAAGGATAGATTGGTTGAAAATCGAGGCCAGACAAGTTCAACCACCTTACAAGCCAAAAGTGGTATGTTTTTTCGCAAATCTCAGGCTTAACTTCTTTCTTTCCAAAAATTTTCCGAAATGAATGTCATTCTCGTTGTCGCGGCATGAAATTTCAACATGGACTTGTTCTTTGGCAAAATTTTGAAAAAAATTAAGCAAATATTGGGTTGGTGAATTAAAAACTGCGGGCTATTGTCATATGTGACAATTTGAGCACTTTCTTCAAAAGAAACCCATTTTGGTGTCAATGGAAAAGTTGTAGAGAATCAAAAATTAGGCTTATAGCCAAATTTCCAAAAAGATAAACTCAGTAGTTTCGCTTAAAATTCAGGTTTTGGTGCAGGTTTTGTGAAAATTCGTAAATTTGGCATCTCTTGAAAAGCAGTTTTTGAATCGTTCTGAAAATTTGAATATAAGCTTGATTTTTGATTCTCTACAACTTTTGCATTGACACCAAAATGGGTTTCTTTTGAAGAAAGTGCTCAAATTGTCACATATGACAATAGCCCGCAGTTTTTAATTCACCAACCCAATGCTTTGTAAAACAGCCTTTCCGATGCACTTAAATCAAATTCTCTTGAGAAAAGAAAGCTTACTTTATAGCTCAGTGCGCCAGAAAGATTGTATTTCCTTTTCTTGAACACAAAGTACGGGAACAAGTCTATTTCATCTATTTCATCTATTTCAACTGTGACTCTATTAGCCGTAAACTAGAGGAAATCTTAAAAGTATAAGCACAGCATGATTCACAAAATTTCTCTTCGTGTTTCCCCACTTTTGGTGTGCAATTTCAGAGAAGCAACATTTCGACAGAGAATTTCGACACATCTTTCCTCAAACTGCCCGTCAAATTAACCCCACCCGATATGGCGGTTTTGGGGAATATTCGCGGAGACGAGTTTGGCGAGTTCTCATTTGTCAATCCGATGTTCTTGCATACGGTAGACGATGAACCGCTCAACTTTGGACATTCGAATTCCCTTTCATAGTGCAAATGAGAGAATGTTTCTACAGAATTTCTATAGAATTTCCATAGAATTCTTTTTTCTATTGAACTTGATGAGAAACGGGTTTTTATTGAAGAAACATTATAGGTTCCCTCTTTTGCCATTGGCAATCTAGCTTTCAGCTCAAATATCTTGGTGCTTGGCTGTCCAATTTAAATAGTTTTTGTACCAATCGACAGAGAAAGAGTGGGCGCATCTAATGATACAAAGAATATTTAGATTGGGCAGCCCAACAACAAACTGTTTGAGCTCAAAGTTAGATTGTCAATGGCAAAGGGGCAGGGCTTATTAGATGTCCGATAACCTTCTTTGCAGCCAGTATTTAAAGTACCCGTTCTAGAGATAGAATAGAATAGAAATTTTCAATCTTATTCACAAAGGAAGATCAACTGGTTGAGCCGGCCAAATGCTATGCGATCTATTCGACAAAGAACACTAGTCAGCACTTCTTGAAAAAGTAAAAAAGAACCCGAAGTGGGAACCGAACTTGTGGGGTTTCGCTCTGGAAACGAACGCTGTACCACTCGGCCACAACTACATCGAGACCGGCCGCAACGAAGCCGCTAAGGAGACCGCAAGGAGGCTGCTAAGGCTTAGGCTCAGGCTCAGGCTCAAGCTTAGGCTCCCGCCCCTCGGCTTGGCTTAGGTCGCAAGGACGCCGCTAAGGACGCCGCAAGAAAACCCAAATGATCACATTTTCAGAGTCCTAACAAAACTTTAGACGCTTATAAATCCTGGTTGTCATTTAGCAAAAACGGAATAGATATTCGGAATCAGCATCAAATTCTGCGTCGAATGGAACAGATCTCAAAGGATTTGGCCGACTCAGCCAGTTGATTTTCTCTTGTCAGTTATTGAGAAAATTTTCGAAGATTTTGTTTCAAAAAGCTGTTTCTCATCAAGTTTTTCCCCATTCCTTTTCCTCGATTTTTCCACGTCAACCCCAAAACCTAGATCTCCTCAAGAAAAAAACAAAGAAACAGAAAAGTCGACTTACATTTCGTCCAAACTTTTTCTGGTGCCATAAAGTAAGAAAAATTTCGATGTAAAAACAAATTGGGTATTTGATTTTTCACGAAAAGTTTACTATGAATTTTAAAAAATTCAATCAAACCATTTCTAAACTACCGTATTTTCTCTAATAGTAGTGCACCCCGGCGAGCCGAGTTGGTGACGATTTTACGGTTTCGAAACTTTTGCAGAAGCTCAACACTCTAATTCCCGAAAAGACCTCATCGTCAGCTACATTTTCCGACCCCACATCGATAGGTTCTGATAAGCGGTTCTCGAGATATAGAGGAATTTAGGCGACGCTCAGGGTGCACTACTATTGGGTTGGTGAATTGAAAACTGCGGGAATTTGAACTAAAATTTATTCAACATAAAACCATCAATTCATTCCAAATAATTTTCATTATTATTGACGACTTCTGTCCATTTTACAGGCAATTTGCGGATTCCTCTTTCGTAGTAGGATTTTGGTTTGTGTGTGAGACAAGTGTGAGACTCAAAAATCGAGGACTGGAGATGTCAGCTGTCAGCCCAGTTTGAGCACTTTCTTCAAAAGAAACCCATTTTGGTGTCAATAGAAAAGTTGTAGAGAATCAAAAATTAGGCTTATAGCCAAATTTCCAAAAAGATACACTTAGTAGTTTCGCTTAAAATGCAAGTTTTATTGCAAGTTTTGTGAAAATTCGTAAATTTGGCATTTCTTGAAAGCCAATTTTTGAATCATTCTGAAAATTTGGATATAAGCTTGATTTTTGATTCTCTACAACTTTTCTATTGACACCAAAATGGGTTTCTTTTGAAGAAAGCGCTCAAACTGTCACATATGACAATAACCCGCAGTTTTCAATTCACCATTCCAATATTAGGGAAAATACGGTATTTCTTTTTCTAATGAAATGAAAGAAAACTTTTTCTTTTCTATTTTGTGCGTGTTTTTGAAACTTTTTGAAGTGAAAACATGACAAAATTTCAAAATTTTAATGAATTCCGATAACTTTTCTAAGAAAATACACAAAATTGAAGAAAAGACACCTCTTCGCATTTCCCTTATTGTTCAAATTTGTCGTTTTTTCAGGTGAATAGATGAAATATTTGCCAGATTAGCTGAATATTTCAAAAGATAGCCTATTTATTGACAATTTCGGTGTTTACTCTTTACCATTTTAGATATTCTGTGTAGTAAAATTTGCATGTGAAACTTTCTTCTATAGAAATTCTCTTAAAGCCACTTTGAGGACGTAAAAAGAAAAGCAATATTTTGCTAATAAAATATTCAAAGTGGTTACTGGTTATGCTAATTTTTTCCTATGCAAATCGCGTATTTCTTTGAATGACGCAAAAACAAACACCGTTTTTCTTGATATCGTTGTTTTTGGCTTCTCTTTCTTCATCACCCTTTACACACAATGAATGGAATGCTCTGTTGTTCCTCTTTTTCTCTTTTTTTTTGCCCGATAAAGCTGGTATTACAATTAAATTGTATAAAACAAAAGAAAATGATAATTAAAACTATTTTACTGATTTAGAAATGCTCAAAAAAGATTATTTTTATGATAGGTAAGTAAGCAAGTAAACCTATAAAGCAAGTAAACCAAGTAAACGTTGATCAAGAGCTGATGATACTTGTTTTTGTTATTCAGGTTCAGCGTTCACTTAGCACACCTTTTCTTTGACTCTTTTTTTAGGTTCTTTGACTGAGGGCATAGGACAAAATAGAGCAAAGCAATAGAATCCATAGTATAAAACTGAAAACTGATACATTGAACTGATAGTGAGGGTAAAGTACAGGTTTCCACACGTTGGGACAAGGTCAAGTGTAAACCTAGAAAACAAGCCTGCCTTTGGAAACAAATTGTTTCCGAAACAGTTTTTCAGTAAGGCTAGATCAAGACAAAAGCTAGACCTGTCCTTGCTAGACCTGTCCTTGCTGGACCCGGCCTTGCTGGACCTGTCCTTGCTGGACCCGGCCTTGCTGGACCTGTCCTTGCTGGACCTGGCCTTGCTGGACCTGTCCTTGCTGGACCTGGCCTTGCTGGACCTGGTTTTGCTGGACCTAGCCTTGCTGAACCTGGCCTTGCTTGACTTACAGGCTTCAGAGTTCGGAAGATCCCTGATTGATAAGTCGTCTAGATAGCTTTAAAAAACAGAACCCTTTTTATGGTATTTTGATTCAGTCACCCAATGGCAAGACTATTATTCACTTTCAGCGTTCATCTACACTTAGCACACTTTTTTTGACTCTTTTTTTGGGTTCTTTGACTGAGGACATAGGACAAAATAGAGCAAAGCAATAGAATCCATAGTATAAAACTGAAAACTGATACATTGAACTGATAGTGAGGGTAAAGTACAGAATTTAAACCATACCCTCTATCGATCAGCGTCTCCTTGAACAAAACGGGGAAACTTCTTTAAAAAAGCGAGTTGAAAATCTCTTATGTGTACGACAGTTTATCATATAATGTAAATGAAAAGTGTTTGACTAAAAGGGTGTCTTAAAGGGGGTCTACAGGGTGTCTACAGGGTGTCTTAAAAGTTCTGAAACTTTTTCTGTAAGCAGTAATTTACAGAAAAACACGTGAATTTTGGAAAACTAACGCTAGATTCTAAAAATTCAGCTATTTTTTGCCCCAATATGCGCATTTTCATCAAAAGATGGCCAGGTCCAGCAAGGTCAGGTCCAGCAAGGTCAGGTCCAGCCAGGTCTACGTCTAGCTTTTCTAGTTTCAACTCTCAACAACTTTTTGACTAGGATTTTTCACATTCCAGTCTAATCGCTGACTTAAATGACTTAAAGTTGACTTAAATTTTTGTAGAATGAAATTTTTCCAAAAACTACTGTTACCATTTGATAGATCCAAGTTTTTTCTTGAAAACAAACCAAAAACGAACTTTATACCTTAAAAACGAAAGATTTTCAAGCGATTCTACGAAGGGTACTCAAATCTTAAAAGCAAGAAAAAAGCGCTATGACGCTAAACAAAAACAAACCAGATAAACAAAGGAAAAGCGCTAAACATTCTCATCAAAAAGTTTAGAGTTGTTTACAGTTGTAACTTTTGTGCAAAAAAACGTATAGTAGGGGTAAAAATACCTAAATTTTCATAATCCGGCGTTAGTTTTTCAAAGATAACGTGTTTTCCGAGTCAAACTGTCTTTACAAAAATTATAAGAACTTTTGGGACACTTTGTATGCATTAACTCTAATGCCAGTATAAGGTTTTCCAGTATAAGGTCATCACGATGCCAGTATAAGGTTTTAATTTCATGGTAAAAGTCTCATGGTGGTGATCATGGCGGCTCATGGGTAAGGCCAAGTGTAATCTAGAAGTCAAGCCTGTCCTTGGAAACAAATTGTTTTCGAGACAGTTTTTTCAGTAAGGCTAGATCAAGACAAAAGCTAGACGTGGACCTGGCTGGATCTGGCCTTGCTGGATCTGGCCTTGCTGGACCTGGCCTTGCTGGACCTGTCCTTGCTGGATCTGGCCTTGCTGGACCTGTCCTTGCTGGATCTGGTCTTGCTGGATCTGGCCTTGCTGGATCTGGTCTGGCTTGACCTGGCCTTGGTGGACCTAGCCTTGCTGGACCTGGCCTTGCTGGACCTGGTCTGGCTTGACCTGGTCTTGCTGGACCTGGCCTTGCTGGATCTGGTCTGGCTTGACCTGGCCTTGCTGGATCTGGCCTTGCTGGATCTGGCCTTGCTGGACCTAGCCTTGCTGGACCTAGCCTTGCTGGACCTGGCCTTGCTGGGCCTGGCCTTGCTGGACCTGACCTTGCTGGATCTGGCCTTGCTGGACCTGTCCTTGCTGGGCCTGGTCTGGCTTGACCTGGCCTTGCTGGACCCGGCCTTGCTGGATCTGGCCTTGCTTGACTTACAGGCTTTAGAGTTCGGAAGATCTCTGCTTGATAAATCGTCTAGATAGCTCTAAAAACCGGAACCCTTTTTATGGATTTAGTCACCCAATAGCAAGACTGTTTGATCCTTGATACAGTTTTCAGAATCGATTATCACAAAATGCATTACTGATTTATTTCACTTTGCCCACTAAACCGCTAACATGTTTACCTACAGAAAGCGCCGGACGATGTGTCGAATTTCGATCCAGAGTTCACCCACGAGGTGCCCCGTTTGACGCCAATCGATCGCTTGTTCTTGATGAATTTGGATCAAACCGAATTTGAAGGGTTTTCTTTTGTAAACCCGGAATATGTGCACGATGTATAGAGTGGAATGAAAATGGATTCTTTGTCAAGAAATTGTGGAAATTTTGAGGCAAGCTTGAGCCAATCTTGAGCCAATAAACTGGCTTTAGAGCTATAAACTATGAGCTTTTGATGTTGAAAAGTCTGATAATCCCAAACAATTTGAACCCATTTTCCTTCTACGTTTATTTATTTCCGATATTTCTAGTCGAAATCTCTCTAACCCAGACTTTTCATGCATTTTTCGACTTTTCTTTTGGAGCTTCTTTTTTATCAATAAAAGATTTATAAAGATTTCTTGAAATTTGCAAAAAAAAAAGCTACAGAAACAATGAGCAATGAGATTTACAAAATGACAAAGAAAAAAAAAATGAATTTATTAAGCCGATTCGTAAACTTGATTCTCGTAGATGTTCATAGGGGATTTTTGAAGAAAACCGACGGCTCGCTCAATCACTAAAAATATTACATAAAAAACACAATGTCTTGATAATAGTAAAGAATATTTTTTTCGTTGAAAAGTAGCCAATGCACTGAGCCACACACAAATAAATGAAAGTTCCTTTAAATTAAAGCCCTTAATTTAAAGATCTTTACTTTCTAGTTTCTGATTCCTTTTAAACAAAAAAAAAATTGGTTAACTCTAAAGCGTGTTTGCGCGAAATCCGCATTTTTTCCCATTTTTTCCCATAACTTTCACTGTGCCAGTTTTAAGCAAAAAATCGTTTTTCCCCGTATTGGACCGTATTGGAACCGTATTGGAACCGTATTGGAACCATATTAGAACCGTATTGGATTAAAATCGAAACCATATTAGAACCGTATTGGATCAAAATAGGAACCGTATTGGAACCGTATTGGATCAAAATAGGAACCGTATTGGAACCGTATTGGATCAAAATTGGAACCGTATTGGAACCATATTAGAACCGTATTGGATCAAAATAGGAACCGTATTGGAACCGTATTGGAATCGTATTGGAATCGTATTCGATTAAAATAGGAACCATATTGGAACCTTATTGGAACCGTATTGAAACCATATTAGAACCATATTGGAACCATATTGGAACCGTATCTGAACCATCTTGGAACCATATTGGAACCATATTAGAACCGTATTGGATCAAAATCGAAACCATATGAGAACCGTATTGGATCAAAATTGGAACCGTATTGGAACCGTATTGGATCAAAAAAAAGAAAAGCGTATTGGAACCGTTTTTTCGCATTTTTTCCCATAACTTTCACTGTGCCAGTTTTAAGCAAAAAATCCTTTTTCTCCAAAAAACTAATGAAAGTTTGTTACGTTTATTGCAAGTTTAAATGCTAAGCTAAATGCTAAGCTAAATGCTAAGCTAAATGCTAAGCTAAATGCTAAGCTAAATGCTAAGCTAAATGTTAAGCTTATTTTTCTGTTTATCTGAAATCTGAAACTTACCTTGACGCTCCTCTGGAGTCAAATAACGGAGCTTGCTGATGTGATAACGATAGATGCGGTTGCGACGACGAAGCTGAAAGTTTAGCAGTTGAAATTTGAAAAAGATTTAGATTGGGTGTGTTTGGGGCTATGGTTTCCCCAAATAAGCTGATTTTTTTTACACCCAAGGGTTTTAAACTATGCTGAATCGATTGGTGATGGTTTTCCAACAAACAATCAAAGTTTTAACAACATTTATAACCAATAGCAACAAAAATCATAACAACAAAATGTAAACAAGTGACCGAAGAGGACAGGAGACAACGAGAAACTCGTTTTTCAAATGACGCTAGCTTTGCAAGGACATGAGACAACGAAAAACTCATTTTTCCAATCGATTCAGCATAGTCAAAAACCCCTGGGTGCAAAAAAGTCAGTTCATTTCAGCCCAATGAGCTCAAAAAAGATTTGCTGCGCGTAACTTCTATAGCACTGTATGTTCTTGGTACGAATAAACATGTTTACACTTTTCAAAACGTACCTGAGCAATCCAGAAGAGTAGAACAAGGACGAGGATGAAGAAACTGGTGAGTGCCATGGCGCGGAAGACGTGTTTGCGAAGTGGGACATTCGCACTCTTGACCGCTGTCATTTCTGAATAATACAAGAATTGGTTCACAAATCTCATTGCATTTAATTATTATTTAAGCCTAGCACTATTCAAGTCTAGAAAAAATTCTGTAAGAGTGATAGCTTCGTTCTCAGAAAAGCATCCATTCTCAAAGAAACTGTAACGACGAGTCAACAAAAAGCTGCTGCAGTCTAATAAGACACCAGAAATACCGTACCTTAAACAATGTCGCGTGTATAAAAGGACGCTTTCTTTCCTCCATTTAGCCAGAATTTGGGGATAGCTACTTTGTGCCAAACTCTTTGCGCAACTCGCCATAACATTCTTCTAAGTCAGTCAATCTTGATGTTTTTGGTGTCATTTTGTAGATCCTAACAAGTGCAACAAAATGACACCAAAAACATAAAGATTGGTGTACTTAAAAGAAAGTTATGGCGCAAAGTAGCCACCCCCCTACCCCCAGAATTTTCTCTCATTGGATCTCGTGAAAGTTGTTTTCTTTTGTTCAAGATCCTTCCCCAATTCCCATTAAAGTCCCTTTTTGTCTCTGGGTCAACCCTTTGTCTTGGCGCTTCGTTGAAACATTTTCACACGCTTTGCCTCACTTGTATTGAAGAAACTTGGCTTTGTTATTCTTTAAAGCGAAAGCTCACAGGTCTAGCCATGTCTAGCGAATTCAAGGAAAAGCCCACTAGTAATACAGAGCAAATTAGTTTCGATAGACACTTCATAGCCTTTCCTTGCTAGCAATTTGCCTTCCCACCAAACGAACCTTCCTCTAAGCTCTCATCACTGTCGCTATCGCTATCATCATCATCATCATCCCATTTCTTGTTTTTCATGTTTTCACGAATTTGTTGTTTCCACGTTTGGAAATCGATAACTTGAGGCTTGATACGTTCGATGATCATTTCCTTGATGACTGGTGTGTTCTCATCTGTTTTTGTATTGTAATGAATTCTAGATTTCAAAAGTTTACCTGAGTCATCAGAGTCCGAATCGGAATCGTCATCAACTTTCTTCAAATTCTCCTCTTCTTCATCGAGATCGAATAGCGGATCTGAAAGTGAGATTGAGCTTAAATCATTGAGCTTAAATCTCTTTTGTTTCTTGAAAACAGAGATTAGTTTAATCTTTCTAATGGTGTTCATTAGAATTCCCATCATTAGTTCATGACTTCGGACCGAAGCCTTCAGATTCCAACCCAAGCCTTCGGATTCGAACCCAAGCCTTCAGATTCCAACCCAAGCCTTCGGATTCGAACCCAAGCCTTCAGATTCCAACCCAAGCCTTCGGATTCGAACCCAAGCCTTCAGATTCCAACCCAAGCCTTCGGATTCGAACCCAAGCCTTCAGATTCCAACCCAAGCCTTCGGATTCGAACCCAAGCCTTCAGATTCCAACCCAAGCCTTCGGATTCGAACCCAAGCCTTCAGATTCGAGCCCAAGCCTTCGGATTCGAACCCAAGCCTTCGGATTCGAGCCCAAGCCTTCGGATTCGAACCCAAGCCTTCGGATTCGAACCCAAGCCTTCGGATTCGAGCCCAAGCCTTCGGATTCGAGCCCAAGCCTTCGGATTCGAACCCAAGCCGAGAAACTTCAAAACTTTTTCTTTGTCTTACCAAGCAATCGAACCGCTGGCATTGGTCTCTTTTTGATCTTTTGCGGTAACAGCTCTGGGAAGGGATCTTTCTCCTCATCGACTTCTTCAAAAGAAACGAGACGACGATCGTCTATAAATGAATAAAAACTGAATCTCAATCAAATCCCACTTTCTTCCAATTCGATCAACTGCAGCTCATCCTCTTCAAGTTCTTTGACTCTGAATTTATTGATTAAGCAAAGCAAGAATTTATTGATTAAGCAAAGCAAGAATTTATTGATCAAGCAAAAGCCCTACATCTTCAACGGCTCTTCCTCTTCGTAGTCACTCTCATCTTCGATTTCTTTAGTTTCAACTCGTCTCTGGCTGCCTTTCTGAAATCTTTCATTGTTTTGCAAGCTTGACAATAATATGATTTTAAATGGAAACTATTGAAGTCAAGGTTTACTTTAAGGAAGTTTCTCTCATTTTGTTTATATGCGTAACGCAAGGAGCGGAACACATCCGTCTCAGCGGAGTCCGTATCCCATGCAGGCACTGCACCTTGACCAATCTAAAACAACGAATCTTGTGCTAAGGAAGTTTTTGAATCTGTCAATTGTACTCGAAATGGCCTATTCTATTCTAAATTCTTACAAGAATCAGTAAAATTTTGAGCTCAAAAACATGTAAACGCTGGAAAACAGGCCTAAAGTCGATTTAGCATTAGCTAACAAGGGAATGACAAAGCCCAAAAGTTCAGAATCACTTCGTGATCGAGATCTCAGAGATCGAGTGCTTCTCATAGAGTTGGCTATGCTGACTTTAAATCGGTAAAAATTAGCTGCAAACACCCAAGCAATTGCAAGGAATTTGGCATAAATACCCTTAAATTTTGGACTCTTTTCAACGCCACAAAGAAACTTTTCAACGTCTTTGGTGGTCTAGCGGATAATGTCCTAGCCTACCGACCTTATAAAGTTTCTTAGCTTGGGCTCGAACCCGAAGGCTTGGGTTCGAAGTCATGAACTAATGATGGGAATTGCAAGCTTTATGAACACCATTAGAATTTGTAAAAGGGTGTATAAAACATGAGTCTTTAATGTAAAGACATTAGAATTGGCAACGAGAGGCTTCGAACCCAAGCCAAGAAACTTCATAAGTTCCGTAGGCTAGCCCACTGTCCCCTAGACCACCAAAGGATTTTAAGAGTTTCTTTATGGCGTTGAAAAGAGTCCAAAATTTAAGGGTATTTATGCCAATTTCTATGCCATATTCCTTGCGATTGCGTGGATGTTTGCAGCTAATTTTTATTGATGCAGAGTCAACATAACGGATTCTACGAGATGCACTCGATCTCTGGGATCTCGATCGCGAAGCGATTCTGAACTTCGAGCTGGTGGCATTCCCTTGTAAGTAACTTGCATAAAGCAGTAAAATAATCACGGCTTGTGACTAAGAAATTGCCAGCCTTGTCATATTAAAGGTTTTAGATTCATAAATTTCCCCGATTTCCTTAATCTACCTTCGGTTTAGGCTCATCCGAATCATCTGCGATCTTCAAATTCGTGAACACAAAAGCGACATCCTAAAGTTGTTCTTGAGTTTGATCATTGCCTCTGACAGATTGAATTACATTTCTTGGCTTGAGCTTTGACTAGTTTGACTAGTTTGACTAGTTTGACTAGTTTCAACTTCATCTTTAATTTGCAAAACTCACCGCTTCGTTCTCACTATCCTCAGTCTCATCATCGTCATCATCGCTAATGCTGAGAATGTCAGGCTTAGGCCACTCGTCATTGATCTTTTTCAACATTTGATCAACTTCGGAACTTTGGTCATCTTCGGTTTCTTCTTTCTGAATTTAAAAAATACATTTATTCACACGAAGGATTTAATCTCTCTTTAAGAAATAGGAAAAAGGTTGTAAGGATTTCGAGAAACGGCCTAAACTTTGATGCCAGATATCAACCAGATATCCAGCTCCATTAGAAAAAGTAAAAGGGTATTCAGTATTAGCATAGCTGATTCTATAAAGATAGCTGATTCTATAAAGATAGCTGATTCTATAAAGATAACTGATTCTATAAACATAACTGATTCTATAAAGCCATAGGCTCTATTAAAAGGCCACTTTGACCTGATGCATTTTCCTAGTAAGCCCTAAATGTAAGAAAGAAAAACCCGGTACTTGTTGGTTATACCCCAAAAAGCTTATTGACGAACTAAATTAGCATCAAACTACTGTTTTACGTAGTTCAAGTTAAGTTATTTCAATTGTAAGTTAGTCTAGAAGTATTTCTTGAACATCTTTAACCCTTGAACTACGCATAATTATGCTAATTTGACCTGTTTATATTTGGCCTGTTTATATTTGACCTGTTTATATTTGACCTGTTTGACTTGTTTATGCTATGCAAATGTTTGTGCTGGCAGAACGGACAAGTACCAAAGAAACCAATAATCTACCGACGGGATTGAATCCCCGACTAGGATACAGGGCTCTTATCCAGTCGACCATGGCCGGCTTCTAACTAGTCGGCCATGACCTGCTTAGTAGGGAAGGTCACAAGGTGATCAAATGACACGATTCATATACCATACGACGCAGAATTTTACGCTGATTCCAATGCTGTTATCCGTTTTTGGCTCTTAACCAGTCGGCCATTTGGTGGAATCCAAGTAAAGCTTGAAACTTGAACTCACTCTGGGCAATTTGACTTCTCGAAGGGCAAACGTTTTCTCGAGTTGGCCACGAATTTGGACTTCAATCGCGTCTTTGAAGTCTTGATCGACTTGAACTCCGCATTTTAAACTAAATAAAGTTCTAATTCTTTCTATTCTATCTTTCTTTTTATTCTTTCTTTCTATTCTTTCTTTCTATTCTTTCTTTCTATTCTTTCTTTCTTTCTTTCTATTCTTTCTAATTCTAATTCCACAGTTGATACCAATTAGTTTCCAGAGTTTCGACTCCTGTTCAACACTGGATTCTTCATTTTCTAATTACCTAATGCAAATAGTTTGCACTCGATTACGCAAAGGATCATTCCATAATCAAACTTCATATGTTTTCCTTTCAAAAATATTTTTTTCTTCCGTCACTCTACCCCTCGAGTCCTTATCTTGAGCTTACAGCGTTGAAATGGAAATTTTCCTTCCCATTTTCTGATCACATGAGTTGTCAACAAGTCGGTAAAAGTGATGGATCGATAATTATTGTAAAGTTTGATATAAAGTGCAAATATTATTGGCTGGATATTCCTTGGGGATGCCTGATTTAGGAACGCTTGATTTAGGAATGTTTAAAGCTAGCTATGTGTCAAAACCAGTTGCAGATTTCGAAAACGAACTTGAAGTCTTCATTCTCATGATCAACAACTCCACACTCGATACACTGTGTGTCTTCATATGGAGTGCAGGGTCTCTAAAGTGTAGAAGTTGAGAATTCTTGTCGATTGCGATGTTGAGAACTCTTGCAGAAATTGATTTCAAGCCTGTTCTTTACCTCGATGTACGAATTTTGTGGGCATCCGCTTGTGCATTGATCACAGGCCAAGATCAAGCGATTGTAGAACTCTCCCTGAAAGTTTAATGTCAAAACAAAACTCGGATATTGCTTTAATGATCACCTTAGATCACCTTAGATCAACTATTAGGGTGTACAGTTATTAGAGATGAGAAAATCTCGAGCTGAACCTAATCCCACCTTCGTTTTCTCAGCCGTTTTCTCAGCCTAGGCTAATTGCTGATTGCTCTGAAGCGTCTACAAGCAGAGAATTTCAATTTCTATCTCTAGAAAAAAATCTCAGAACAATCAGCCAAAAGACGGCTGAGAAAATGAAAGTGGAATTAGGTCCGGGTTGAATGTCTAGTAGTAGTAGTAGTAGTTCGATTTCTAGCAGCTACTACTGAAGTCAAAGGAGTCCTGCTTTGTGCTCTTATGCAAGAGCATCAAGTCTGAATTCTGAGCTCAAAACAAACCTCTCCACACGCATTATCGCGACGAGTGAGGGCAACCTGAAGTATGAGTCATCACTTGAAGCATAGATCACATTAGGGCATTAGGGTATACGGTAGCTATTACTTAAGAGTTTAGCTAAGGAAAGGCAAGTTCAAGATCTAAACGTTTGCTAATAGCTGAGCTAAGCTAAGCATGAACTAGCTGAGCTAAGCTAAAACTATGAACTAGCTGAGCTAAGCTAAGCATGAACCAGCTGTTGTTAGTTGTTGTTAGTTGTTGTTGGACTAGGATAAGAATAAGCACTTTCACATTGATCACTTTAGATCAAATATTTACTTTCTATAAGCGTCCTATCCTTGCTGCAACTTCAAATGCTTTCTGGACTTACTTTTGAAGCCTTTCCTAATATCGAAGCCTTGTCTTTGCTGATAGCTTACTTAAAACGATTCTAGGGAACACCAGCTGTGAATGGGTCTAACTAAGCCAGTTCAACGTCATCTCATTGTAAGATTTGAAGACCCATAAGCCAATTTAAAAACCCACCTGTAGCAAAGCAAATAGAGCCAAAGCCCTTAAAATCATGACAAAAGAAAATCGAATTTGGTGAAGATTGAAAAGAACTGAGTCGAAGTGGTAGAGCTTCTCTTATCAGCTGGGCATTACAGTGCTGATGGCTCGATTCTTCGAATAAAAAGCGAGAGAGAGAGTGAAGAAATCTTTTGATTCGGAGGAAAAGAAGAGAAATTTTGTTGTGGTACCAGTCGGTGTGTCAGGCAAAAAATGAAAGAACGGGAGGAAATTGAGTGACACAAATTGTTCGGTTATGAGAATTTTCTTCGCCCGAAAACGGGGTTGAATTATTGGACGCTCTAAACTTTGAGGTTTCAGTGTGAAAACATAAATCTAGATATTGTTTTTGGGCTGATTGGCAAAAGAGAGAGCAACAAAAAAAGGGTTCAACGACCTTGAAAACCCTGGGGGGCACAAAACATAAACTTTCCCGCTTTTTGGGAATCATTTTGCCCTAATAAATAGCTATTTTCGATTCTCCGTCCTCGAAAACCCCTGGGCAAAAATCTCCAGCACAATCTCCGCTTTTTGTAACATCTAAATGCAAAAATCCCTATGTAAATGACTGGCGAGGTGTCCTTTGTAATCGCTCGCGAGCTGGCAAACCCGTTCGATATATAGTGCTAATCGCTCGCGAGCTGGCAAACCCATTCAATATATAGTGCTAATCGCTCGCGAGTTGGCAAACCCGTTCGATATATAGTGCTTTCCTTTTTTTGGAACTAGCAACTGAACTTGCCCGCTTTCACAGCGTCACTATGCGCGAATTTTTGGGTTAATTTTTAAGATTAATTTTTCTCTTACATTTAGCTGTATTTCTGTACAAACTCGACATCCTGCCAAGCCAAAACTAGCCGACATATTCAAGGTTTGTTCTTGGATTCAACGAAAGTTCAACGAAAAGTTTGTGCGCTTTTTTTGGGAGATATTCTCAATCAATTTGGACGTGTAATAGCCTCGTTCGAAAGCTAATCATCAAGCGAATTCAATGAAAAACAAATCGCTTATTGATTCATTGCGTTTTAGAGTTTTAACAGAGGTTTTAGCGGAGATGGTCAGACCGTAAAAAGTGCAAAAATAACGTTTCATCACTTTTTCGCTTAAAAATCCCGACTAAAAACAAGTTTTTCGGGATCAGGGGCAAAAATTATCCCAAGCACTTTAAACTGACGTCTTTGTAAGCAAAAAAGTTGAACATTTTGTCGTCAGTAGGGCTCGAACCAGCGACCCTGAGGCCCGTACCCAAAAAAATTTTAGGGGCGAGGGCAAGCCAACCAAATTTCAGGGGGCACTACAAGTACAAAAACTTGCAACGACAGATCAAAAATCTGAATCCTCCAAAAGGTTGTGTGCACTCCAGCTAAGAAATTCGGGAAAAAATAAAAAAATTCTGAGCACTCACAAAAGAGGAATAAGCGCCCGAAGATTTGAGGCTCTGCGCGTTAAAATCTACGCAAATTATCGTAACCCGAAGGATCAAATCGCTGCGAAATCGCTGGACTTTGCTCGTTTTTTCAAATTTACTTTGTGATAATTCTTTCAGTGAGTGATGCAACAAAGTTGTTTTCACTTCGTGATGGCTTTGTTTAAAGAATGGCTTTGTTTAAGGGATAGCTTTGTTTAAAGAATGGCTTTGTTTAAAGGATAGCTTTGTTTAAAGAATGGCTTTGTTTAAAGGATAGCTTTGTTTAAAGAATGGCTTTGTTTACAGGATAGCTTTGTTTAAAGAATGGCTTTGTTTACAGGATGGCTTTGTTTAAAGGATAGCTTTGTTTAAAGAATGACTTTGTTTAAAGAATGGCTTTGTTTAAAGGATAGCTTTGTTTAAAGAATGGCTTTGTTTAAAGGATAAAGGACCAATTAATAAAATAAAACAAGCTAACTGCATTCATTCACTTACCTCCCCCCTTTCCCCTGGGTACGAGTCTGCCTACGAGTCTGCCTCAGAACAATAGATCTCGCGCCGATTCGCTGCCTTTTCTCTCGTTCTTAAAGCAACAGAAATTCATTTCAATTTGTAAAAACGAAAAAAAGTCCAGCGATTTCGCCCTTTGGGTTACGATAATTTGCTGACTAGTTAGCGGGTAGAGCCTCAAATCTTCGAGCACTGTTAGAAACGTTCTGTTCTATAAAACTGCAAACTGTAAAACTGTAAACTGTAAAACTAAAACCTGTTAGAAACGCTTGTTTGCAAGAAAAACACTTTTTTTGAACATTTTCGTAGACATATCACACGGTTTAGAACTTTTTAACTCAAAAAGACAACTTTTTATTGAGATATTCGAAAAGTACGAATCAATTTCGTAAGAAAAATCAGAGTTTTCCGTATTTTCTCCTCCTTTCTTAAGACTTATTTTTCACACAAACAAGAAACAAAAGCGATATTGTTGTCAAAATCTAATAAAACTTTCTGACAAAAAGTAGCAATTAATCAAATTGTGTTGTCTCACCGTTTTATTGTGGTTTATAAGTTTTCTGATTCACTGGCACTGTTTTGTTTTTAATTTAAAATTTAAAATAAAAACATTTGAAGATAAAATAAAATAAAAGCTTAAGAATAAAATCAAATCTCATCCTAAGGTGTGATCCAAAACGAATGACAGAAGAAAGGATCATAAAAACTTTTTTGCTTTATGACAAAGGTACAATTTTCATTGCTCAGATAACCATAAAGTTTCAAAAAATAAAGAAAATACAATTTCAATTCAAAAGTTGTATACCGTATTCTCTCTAATAGAGGTGCACTTTTTAATAGTAGTGCACTCTCTAATAGTATTGCGGTCCAGGAGGTGGTTGAAAAATTGGTAGTGCACACTACTATTAGAGAGAATACGGTATTCGATTTGTTTTTATCAGTCCAACGAGTTAAGAGTTTAGCTAAGAAAAGTCAAGCTCAAGATCTAAACATTTGCTAATAGCATAGCTAAGCTAAACATGAGCTAGCTGTTGTTGAGACTGTTGTTAGTTGTTGTTGTTGAAAAGCGCACCTTTTCAAAAGCGCACCCGACCCAAAAGCGCACCCGTCCCAAAAGCGCACCTTTTCACTGTTGTTTTTTTGGCTTTTTGCAAATCAATACAAAACCAAAATTCCAAATTTATTTTCCCATGATTATTAGACTAATGTATTTTGTTTCCGGTGCCAAAAATGAACTTCTAATTGTACTTTTGCTTCTTTATACCTTCAATAACAACCTAACCATTTAACAGTAAAACATTTAGCAGTAAAACAACGACATAAAACAGACAAAAGTAACAATAACACAACTTAAAAACATGGCAACATTACCGAGAAACAATATGAGGCAAGAGTTGAGATAAATGTTGAACATGAGACACATTATTTCTACCATTAAGTACAGCATGAAACCTAAGATTCTGACGATGAACAACACGATTAGTTCGAGGATACAACTGACCAAGCGAGAGATTTCGTCCATTGGCAAGTTTTAGCCTGTTGATAGCATTTGACATTTCTTTAAAAAGGCGACAAACAGTGAAGCTTGGATGTGGGTTCTTTGGGCCAATCTAAAAAACGAATAAAAAGCTTGAATCAACAAAATACCTTTAGCAACGAGTTGAACGATTCATGTGTTGAATTCCCGAGTTGTTCTGATTGAAGCACACGGGAATAAACGCTCCATTTCTCCACATCAAACGTCGCAGGCTGGCGAAAGGCTCCATTTGGTCCGTGCTGACATTTTCCGACATAGTTCTTTTCAATAAAGGCGAAAAACTCTAAAACTAAAATAAAAACGAAAAACAAAATTTTAGTAGTATAAGTGGTACAACTTACTTTTTTACAGCCCGAAAATTTGTGCCAAGCGGTGGTGGTGAATTGTGAGCTGACAAGACAACAGCGTCAAAATAGTCGGGCACTTCTTGCGGTTCCACCAATGCGAGAGCCATCATTGACTGAAGATGTCCTTTGCCGAAAGGAGTTTGCACCGGAGAAGAAAGGCCACGTTTCTAAATTTCAACGTTAATTACAAAGGATAACACATATTTTAAACTTGCCTTAATATTTCGTAAAATATTTTGGTGAAAGTGAAACACAAAATACTGATGAGCGACTCCGGCGCCATAAACCTGCTGATAACCTTGGAAAATCGCTCGCTCAAAGTCTACAAAGCAACATTAAACAAAGAAAATGCTGCACCTACCTGTCATTAGTTTTGTTGGTGCAGGAATATTTTCCGACAAAATGTAACGGAAGACTGCTTCGTAGCACTGGGCGGACTTTCCACTCAACAGAGCAAAAACACACGGTAAGAATAGGTGTTCTTTCTAAATTGATACACACATTAGTAAACTCCTTTTGCCACTTACTTGGATTCCAATGATGAACAGTTGAGCAAAGTCTGCCGGACACGAGTAAAATGTGCCATCGGCCGTCCAAGAACGATTCTATACATTCAATTAAACAGAGATTTCATAAAATAATCTTACCTTTCGTAATAGATCGAGTCCAACATTGTGCGCGTAGATTTTCACCGCTGCGTGATCACCCTGCTGGTGCTGCGCACATGTATCAACCCTTTCAAACAGTGCACCTAATGAAATAATTGTCTTTTACTAAGAAATCACAACCAACCATAAGTTGAGCAGTCAATCGGATGAGGCCACGTTGTTGTGGAGGCTCTCTTTGCCACCCGTTTTGCTACTTTCGCCAACGCTTTTTCATTCACAAACGGCTTTAAATGATCTTCTGCCTCTTTGATCACGCTTGTTTCGATGTGGCGAATCGGTGTTCCCATTTTTGCGTGATGTTTCACGACTTTCTTTAATTTACGCATCTAAAAGAGAAAGGATATTCGTCAAAAAAAATGTTTACCTCTTTGGCGTAGTTGGTTGGCATATGATTATGCATACCTTCGCATTGTACCAAATTTGAATTCACCGTTAGCTTTGCAAGTATTCCACACTTTTTTACAAGGCATCTAAATCAAATTTTTAAACTTAAAACTATCTAAATAGTACCTGTAAATGGGTCCCTTTTTCACCGTCTCTTTGTGCTTGCGAAATTCGAAGCCCATAGCATCGTAGAAGATCTTTTTGTTTTTGTTGCTTCGAGGCGTATCGGTGAGCACCCTAGAAAAAGTGCTAGTGATTGTAAAAAGTGAACAAATGCAAGAAAAGTAAATTTAAACTGTTTAAAATCGTACCGCTTATGTGGATTTCCCGACATTGTGCTGAAGCTCTCAATTTGTCTGTTTTGCAACTGAAAACACAAAAGAGGAGTGGCTACTTTGTGCCAAATTTTTTGCGCAACTCGCCATAACTTTCTTCTAAGTGGGCTAGTCTTTATGATTTTGGCGTCATTTTGTAGAACTCAACAAGTGCAACAAAATGACACTAAAATCATAAAGATGAGCAAAATTTATGGCGAGTTGCGCAAAAATTTGGTTCAAAGTAGCCACATTGTAAAAAAATGAGCAAACGCGATTAAAAACGTCAGAAACACTTGGAGAAAAAAATGGAAAAAAAAATGGAATTTTGCTTTTGTATTGATTCGCGAAAAGCAAAAAAACCACAGTGAAAAGGTGCGCTTTTGGGTCGGGTGCGCTTTTGGACGGGTGCGCTTTTGGGTCGGGTGCGCTTTTGAAAAGGTGCGCTTTTGGGGGTGCGCTTTTGGGTCGGGTGCGCAAATAAAAGATCGCTTTTGTCCCACCCCCAATTTAGCGGCTACACAACGCTCCTTTAAACGTCGCGACAA